TTTTTAGGTGTAGGAAATTGCAGCCTCACACTATTAAACACAGCACATTTAAAGGTAGTGTTTCATTTAGCATATTGGTAAAAGTGGTAGGAATTACATCATTTACAAAGAAGTTGAACAGACAGAAAGACAGCAAAGGCGACTATTGCTATTAAGCACGAAAAAAGAAGAAAAAAAATCAATAAATAACTGATGTGCCATGACAATCTCTACAGTTTGAATATGCTCTTCAGCCTTCAGAATAAAGACACACCGTGCAAATAGGAGATCCAAATACACAGCATTCAGCTGCTCAACAAACTTTCAGTATCAACTTTGGCACTACTTGACTATGCACTTCAGGTTTTTACATCAATCCAAGCTTCATATTTGAAGTTTTCCTACAAACATCTGTTAATGTATATATTTTGACTTGTCTCATTGAAACGTAGAGGTTTTCAAACTCCACATAAGGCAAGTCTCATTCATATCATCCAGTGATTAGGGTGTAATCAGAGGATTTATCTACTGATGACACGATGATAAACTATCACAAGTAGCTAGTCTGAAAAATCTGAGAGGAGGAAGAGGCTTACATCAGGAGCTTCTTAGCCATTCTGTATACATACATGTAAGTAGTCTTCTTATTTGTAAAGCACTGCCTGTGAAAGACAGCTATTTAAGATGTCATGACTATGTTTACATATGTTTCATTGCAAAGACAGCCGAGTGTTAGTTTATGACAAGCATTTGTCCAACAGAGTTCACAGAGGTAAAAGAGAAAGCTAGAAAAAAAACCTACACACCACAAACTCGGGCCAGCTAACCTAGTTTCACAAGAGCTCATGGTTCAATGCTATACTACAGCAGGCCACTTGAGGGATTTTACCATGTTGTAGCAGAACGGTGAAAAAAAAATTCCAAGAGTCATCTAAAGGAAAAACAATGCTGTCTGCATTAGGCGATGCACAACTAATTCAGCCCACCCTTTCCACCTCACAGCTATATAAATTAAACACAGCACATGGGTTAAGTAAACCATAAGCTCACCCTCACTAAACAACTTGCTTTTCACAGTGACAAGCCTTCAATCTGAATATGGAGCACTTTATTAGGATTGCCTTTTGGATTTTTACTCTCTCTGGTTCTCTTCAAGCAGGACCTCTTTTCAAGAGAGCCACCAGTGACTGGAACATCGACTTTATGCGGGCCAATGTTACATGTGTAAGTGATTTCAAGTTTAATATTTTCATTGCTCAGTTTGAGTTTCTGCCAGTTGCTAATACAGTTCAATCTTTTCTTCTGTCCACACAGCCACCAGATTCAACATTCTATTCTCCAGAAGAAGTGTTGGTAAGCCTATATTTGATATTAAAAGTTTTAGAATTACTTACTATGAATGATGCATTGTCATAACCTTCAGTAAGTCACAAATGACAATGAAATTTGGTGTGTGTGTACATATATATATATATACATAGATACATATATGTTCTGTGACAAACATGATGATGATGATAAAGCGATCAGTGAATAATATTTTAGAACAAACTCAGTCATGTTGGGTTCCCCACAGCATCAAAGACGCTCAAGCTTCTGGGTTCAGTTCAGCTTTTGTAAACCACATGTAAAGGTTCTCTAGTACAGGAAATGAGTTTGCCAGGTGTTGACATTTCACACAGCTGAGGCAGATTCTACTTGCTGGCTTCTCTGCAGCCACAAGCGTCTCAGTCAGATCAGTAAAAGGATGTTAAAACATCTTTCTCTGTCATACACAGCCGAAATGCATTACTACAGCACTGGACTGCGTTATGCAAGAACTTCTTGGAAAAGCCCGAGTGGAATGTGATGACCCTGAAAACCGCATTGGACAGGCTTTGGAAACCTATTCGACCCTAAGCGTGACAAGAATAAGAAATGGCCATGTAAGTATTTTCTTAACTGTGTTGCCAAATCAAGCGCGAATGATTAAAAAAAAATAAATGATAACATGTAATTTGTTTAAGAGGACTAAACTGACTTATGTTCACTCTAGGGACTGACAGACTCCCCTGATTGTGTCTGTGAGAAATGGCGCCAAACTACTTTCCATGAGTTTTTGAACAAAACCGAGACCTTATTAAATTTGGACAATACAGAGTCACACAAAACTTCAGCCTGATGAGACTGGGGACACGTGCGGCACATTGTCCCTCGATAGCTGTATTAATAAACACTGCAGGAAGCCTAAAGCAACTGTCAAGCAGCAAAGAACGGTCAATGGAACTTATCTATTATCAGATGACCAACCGATTGTGTTTTCAAGAATGTCTGTGTGTGTTTAAGGGATGTTTGCAGCATGTAATTTAACAACATCTCGACGTGCTGAATTGTATGACCAGAGGTATTTTATTGATGCTATGACTCCGAACACTGCCTTAAAATATTTATATTTATAACCATGCCATTGCAATATGGAGCTGAGGCAACTATTTATATTGAATGTTTTGTTTTTGTTTATTACATCATAATATATTCTTATTTCACTAACTATATATTTGTTTATATGTATACCTAATTTCTACCAAAAAAAAAAAAAAAAACAACTGCTGTGAAGTTCTCAGTCAATTTCCAACAATGAGAATGTACTTTGATGTCAACTACAAAGCTCTGAATTTCTATTTATATATTGTTAATTTATGTTTTATTTATGCTGTATGTTTTTGGTGCTCTATGCCTGAATGTATAATGTAATAAATGGTATGATTAACAATTTGTGCATCGCTATTTATTTCAAAGTATGGAAAATTCATTTATATTGCACCAATTATGTCATCTTAAGGCTCTTCACGGAGTAAGATTTAGATCACACAAAATGAGGGTGAGAAACGCAAAAAAAATCCAAACAATTTCCTCTGAGCAGACTCTATGGTTACAGTGCTAACAGTGGAAAGTTGTACAAGAATGACCCCTGAAGACTACAAACATCGTTTTCCAAAAAAAAAAAAAATTGCCCTCATCAAATTTGAAAGCATACATGTCTTAAATGATAAGATCTGCAAGACACCAAAGAAATTGTCTTAGAGCCACGTGTTCTCTCTCTTACCGTGAGCAATTAATGTGGGACAAGAATAGGTGTGCTGCCTGTGTAGGAGGCTGTATTTCCACAACGGTAAGGGCAACCGAAGCAGTCAAGCTGTCCACGAGAAGTGTGAGTATGGAAAATCAAGTCATAGTGAAGTCACTGTCAAGTAATTTTTGGAACAGGTTCTGTAAAGTCCCACGGTGTTCAGCTATTTGTCCTGAAAGGTGTTTGCCTATCCTCTGTCGGCAAGTTAGAGAGTTAGCCGAGACATTTTTAGCTAAATTGTATAGTTGTCCTCTTTTCTACTTTTAAACATCGTCCTAAAGACCCATGCTTTTAGGTCTCCACTATGACTTACATGGCTTTAGTCTGTTCAACACATTTACCCATAGATTTCTATTTTATTTTGTTTATAGTCTACAATCCTAATGCAATACATTTTGTGTCAAATTCTGTAAACATCTTATCACAGTCTACTCTGTATGTTTTGAAAAAAACAAAAAAAAAACATGGTACTCTGAAATAAAGAGCTGAAACAAGTATGTAACAAGCAAGGCATCTCAAAACAAAAAAAAATCTTAGTCAACTTCTCCTCCTTTGTGACATGGGCCTCAATTAACAAAAATCCGAAGTTCAGTCCAAAAGTGACACTCCTGCATGTTGTCAGCACCAACAGCCATCCAGAGTTCTTTCTTTCATCGTGTAAACACAGGAAATACAAAATGAGGTGAAACTCGAAGACCATAAGAGGTACAAACAAACTTGTCTTCTTTCAAATGGGATCTTTTCGTTTAAAAAAAAAAAACGATTTGCAGAACCTATTTCTTGCACTGGTGCGTCATCTACTCGTAACAATGAGAACTCTGATGCAATTTGCTACAGCCTATATTCTTAAAACTTTCCAGATTTCAAGGACAAAGCTGCAGATATAAAAAGCCTCCTCGGTGCCCACGTAGTTCTTAATCCAGCCGCTATATACAAGAATGTAGAGCATATGACACACTCGTATGCATAGCACCTCAGCATAGGTGCTACAGCCTCTAAGAGCTCAGATCTCAAATGCTTTCACTGTGTAACCACATCAAGGGAGTTGCATATCCTGTTTATCTCTAAACCTACTAGTATCACCTCAGTGACTGAGTGATGACAAAAAAAACAAAAAAAAAAAAGAAGTTGGGCTCATAAAATGTATACTGTATGAATCTACCTTCAGTAGTCATATTCTGTAGGGCCTGATGACGTGAATAATACGACTATTACTACCATAAATAAAATGCACACAGGTCACAATAGATTGCAGTCCACCAAAGGAATACCGTGGACTGACTCCACAGGCATCATTCAAATATTTTGTAAAGAAACGCCGACTTTGACTTGGTTTCCTGAGATCAGAGATATACACATCTGAGCACTGATGGAGTCTCAAGAATGAATGATTAGATTAGAGGATTTCTTTAAGGCTGGGAGGTTTCCTTCTTCTGATTTACAGGAGAGGTGCTAATTACTTGTTTCGCTTATATAAACATACTGACAAAATGTACTGGCTGGTGCAGCAAAAGGGGCTGTTTCGGTGCAGTTCCTTATACAACATGGCCTTTAAATGGAAAGGGCATCAAGCAAACATTCCTTTGCCCACGTGCTGCCTTAAAAGTTTCCCTTTTGCATCATATTTTAAAGCAGGTTGGAGGTGGGGGGGGGCATGAGCATGACCGCCTCCTCAGCAGAATCAAGCACAGTAACATCATCACAAGTAAACATGACATCACCATAAACATTGACTACTTTTAACAATTTTAACACAGCGCCAAACTGACACATAATTATAAACCATGTCAGGTGCCGTCAGCATTTGGTGCACTGCATTACACTTTGAGATGACACCCTGCACTGCATACAATGTCAAAGCAACAGCACAGAAAAGGAGACAAACGGGTGTGAAAGCTGGTGCTATACATACAACTGTAAGGCTTGATCCTTGGACAGAGATTCCCTGCATGCAATGGTGATTCCTCCTGTTGGCCACGCCACCAGCAGCTGAACACACCACTCCATTCACAAGGCTGCTCACAGCTTAAAGAGTAAATGATCTGCTGCATCGCATACACAGGAAACCAAAGCATTTCCTGTATGTGTACAAGCAATACAATATAGAAAGGCATATCAACAGCTTTCATCAACACAGGGAGGTCAAGATGTTTAAATGCAGTGACAAACAACCCGATATCACACACTACAGTCATGGCAGCACTAGAAATGCTAAGGCTTGTGAAGACGATCAGCTACATATCGAGAGCCGTGGCTTGTCATTTAAAAAGTGTAATCCAAAACTGTGTTGCCAACTTTGCAATTGAGGAAGCAGGTTAGTCACAATGTGTCGTCACATATACCTTAACATTTACTGCCTTCCCAAACGGGTATAAGTCACTAATTGCTGCTGCAGTAGCGATATGGATGTGGTCTTGACCATCTGTGTTAGTTTATCTACAGTACACCAATGCTGGTTTCTATTCCTATCGTTTTCCTTTTTACTATTAATACAAGTGCATTTTCTAAAAATCAGTAATTTTATTGTGACAGCAGATCACCTGCCAGACTTACCATACACTGGGCTACAGACTAAATGTCGTTGCATTGCGTTTTTACACAATTAAATGAAAATGCTCCCTTTTCTCTTTTCCTCATCACAGAACTTGCTCCAGGATGAACTTTGGGATTAAAGCCTCTAAGAGGTTTGTAGAAATCTAACTTTTTGTAGTTCTGTGTGTTGAAGGACTTTCAGAATATGTGCAGTTCGCTCTGACTTTTACAGTGTTTTTTGGTAATGGCAGCATATCGGCAAACAAAACAAAGGACACGCTTTTTGTTCCTGGCTTAATCTTTCTGTTTGTTTTATTATTGTCTTATCTTTGTGAAAAGACTCAAATGTTGCACTATACAGTGTCCGATGTTAAACTGCTGAATATGAACCAAACTATTCCAAACAGGTGAAAACACAAACATGACAAACTAGTACAACCAAACAGATCTATGTTATATAAATTTGAAAATAACTGACCTAGATTTAAACCATCTTGAACCTTCAGGAACATGAAGGCGATGTTTAAAAGCAGCTTACAACAGTTATGACAATGAATTCTACACATTTATTTCAATCACACACAGTTGCATACAATACTATTTTAAGCTGTAAAACAACATAAATTAAGCATGTTCTAATCACCATGCACATAAATGTATTTACTGAAGAAAGCACTGTGCTGCTTTGAAAAAAGGCCATACAAATGTATATTTATACACTAACTCCTAGCAGGGATTGATTTTAATCAATTTATTTTTTAGAATTTTAAACAAAACTGCTGGTAATGTGTTTCTATTCACATGGTGAAGTTATCAGGAAGCCAAACCTTGTCCAGCCAGGAACCAAAGCCCTGCTGCAACAGGTATGCCCGCAGCACATTCTTGGCCTCCTGGTACGGCTTTGCCATCTTCTTCAGTGAAAAAAAATCACAATAGAAAAAGTATGAATAGTGACAATCCTTGCAGAGTATTTTTCTACAGTAAATACGATATCTGCAGCCTCATCTAATGCTGTAATACAACTGTTATTTTACTGTATACAGAGGAGGAGGAATTGAGGGTACCTTGGCTTCTCTGTAGGAGCTTGTGGTCAACAGGTCCTCCCTTTCAGCCTCTTTGGCCACCAACCTGAAGCGTTGCAGCATTGCTGCTTTACACAGACGGCTAGCCAGAGCAGAGCTGCTCTTAAAGGGGGATCTACAACAAAATAACCAGTGTAACACTTTAGCTATGATGCAATCACAGATAAATCCAGGAGAATAGTAGAAAAAGGTAAATTCTAGGGATGTCCGATAGTGGCCTTTTTTTTACATTTTTTTTGCCAATATCCAACATGCCGATATTGTCCAACTCTCAATTTCCGGGGTAATTCGGATCTCCAAATTAATATCCCAATGTCACCACAACAACCGAATATTCAGATATTCAGCTCCAGCCCTACTAACATCACATACCTCCGGTCCTATTGTTAGTCAGGCACAGCAAGTTTGTTACTGCAGCCACACTTCTTTACACACTTCACAATGCAGTTTGATGACATCATCATTTGCGCGCCGGTAAATGCTGGCGAAATGCAGGCATTATTTTATCGGTTTTCATTATAGGCAAGAAAAAAAAGAAAAAGGATAACGCTATTGACCAAAATTACATTTTTATGCCAATATCGGGTTAACCCTGACTGAAATAACTGAGAGCTGACTGCGCAGGGAACGTGTGACGTTAAGAGGCATCAGTGATGTTTCAGTTATAGTTTTACCACTTAACATCTATCACTGAGGTGTGTCTGGATGGATTCTCACTCATCCAGGTGATGGTAGTCCTACAAGCTTCAGTAAAAAGCAACTGGACTTCTCTTTCTGGTTGTTGAAGACATTTCACCTCTCATCCAAATGATTTTTTCAGTTCTAACTGACCGGTGGGGAGGTGTCTGTAACTCTCCATCAGTCAGTTAGAGCTGAAGAAGCCTCTTGGATTAGAAAGGTTTTTTTTTTTAATAAATGCTACCCCATTGTTACTGCAGAAAACTCAAAACAGGAAAGTATCATCTAACACAGGCTGTCAACAAATGTGACTGACACCCTACTGCCAGTTTCCCATACAGGCATGCTTACTCATCTATGGTCTTGCCCTCGAGGCCATCCACAACCTCCAGGGAGCTGTCTCCTTCGCTCCAGTTGATACTATAGGTCAACTGGCTACTGCCTGGGCTGTTCATAGCCATGGGAGGTACCAGGCTAATGTGGGGCCTTATCATGCAGTAGAACATCGGCAGCTGAGAGGTGATCCCCTCCACACGCTGGCTCACAGCGATCTCCATACCACGAATTTCACTACAGTCAGTGTCGCCTGTAAGATTAAAGATACATATACAGTACTTTTAACAACTACATTTGGAAATCATGTACTGTTCTTCTGTAACTGCCTTTTCTTTTTTTTTTTTATGAGTGATCTTACTTTTAAACGTTCTCATGAATGTGTTCTACTTTGCAATGTTTACAAACCAATCCAGTACAACACATTTTGGGGTTTACCCTCCCAATTATGTGTTTTACAGTCATTGTGATTAGAAAAAGAGGAGAGGATTGTCACATAGAAAATCACAGATAATACTGTCTGTTGTAAAAACCTAACTTGCAAACTTTGTTAGAATATTGTTTTGATGTTAAGTTGTGAAAAACAAATGATTTTATTCGTGGGGAATTTGGTACATCGTGGTATCATTGTAAAGAAGCGAAGTTGGCCAGAGTTGGCAGTGTTACATCAGAGGCTATTTTTAGTTTGACTGTTTTTTGTTGTTGTTTTGTTTTTTTGTGAAAATGCAGTCTGTGTCAGCCAATCCAGTATTCTTCTATGACAACATTGACACTAAGCTTGTTTTACAGACAGGCTATCTGCCTTCTCCCTTTCTTTCTTTTTAATTGAAAATACTTCCAACATGCACCCCAGAGGTCCCATCTACCTCCTTTACCGATACCAAGCACTGGCTATGGCTTCAATATGACTGAAAAGGCAAATCAAATAAATATTATGAAAAAACTTCCCACTATCTCGCGATGACATTACCCGCTGAGGTCCCTACCTTGTCCAAGGTAAGCATGGTATAACTTAGTTCATTAAACAGTTTCTTTGTCAAGCAAAATACACCTCTGATAGATTTCCTCTACAGCTGAAATTAATGCAGCTTTAATGAAAACTATTCCATGAATTTTTCTGGGATCATGTCAAAAAGGTGCACACTTATCTCTATAGACAGAGAGGGTTGCAATTTGTTTTGTATGTGAAATGCATTATATCTTGAGGTGAAAACCAACTAAAAAACTGCTGCATGTTCGTTTACCACTTGTGTACTGTAAATTCCTTCAGTTAACTGGGAAAAAAAAAAACATGTGAACTTCAGCTCTTGTTGGAAATCAGGTTACACCACCATGAAGTGATTCTGCTGTTGTATTGATATTTGTTGTGCATTGAATGCAATCAATTTAAAATAGATTGTATTTTTGCGAGCAAGGTCCGGTTTTGAAAAAGGTAGCATGTAAACCAAAAAAGGAGACTGCTCTGCTAGTCTAAGGACCACAATCTGACTTGACTGACTTACCGATGAGAATGTTTTGGACATAGATGGGCTCAATAAAGTGGCTAAGCAAGGCTCCCTGGTATCCTAGCACCTGCCACTGAGTGATCTTGTCAGTGGTGGACATGCTGACCACTTTGGAGCCAGAGTGATCAAGGGCTGGCGAGAAAACAGAGAACACCTTCAAAAGAAACAGACCAATGTGAAGTTATGCATCAGTGGCAAGGTGCAATTTATATTTTGACAATGTGATGCTTTACAACTGGGGTGTGCAATCCTGGTCCTCAAGGGACACAATCCTGCATGTTTCAGATGTTTCCCTCTTCCAACACACCTGATTCAAATGATCAGGATCGTTATCAGGCTTCTGCAGAGCTTGATGATGAGCTGATCATTTGAATCAGGTGTGTTGGAAGAGGAAAACATCTAAAACATGCAGGATTGTGGCCCTCGAGGACCAGGTTTCGACACCCCTGCCATAGATGACAGAAAGTCATAGTGTAACACCTTGCCCTCCACTGACAGGTGCAGACTGATCTCAGTGTTGACTTGCCATGCTAGAATGGAGAGCGGGTTCATGCGCCTGAGAATTAGAAAGAAAGCTGATGACAAGTCTCATTGGAAAAACCGTTTTGGCTACTTTAAGGTTGAATTCATTTATCATACATCACTGGATCTCAAGTTGCTTAACAGAATACGCCAGTGACAACACAAGGGACACACTTACAGCTTGAACGGGATCTGAGCGGCACCCTTTGGCAGTTTGTTCATGTAAAGGTGAAGGGTGATGTCGCTCTTCAGGCTGAGGAGGCTGCTGTTGTTGTTCTGCTGAAAGATCGACTGCTCTCTCATACTGGCATTCTTGCTGAAAAACATCCGCAGGTGCCTGTACAAAAACCTGGTGACACAGTTCAACGTGAGTATCATGAACCATGTGTAGTCAGGGTGTCTTAAAGTGAAAATGTGCACTACTCGAAGAATAAACTTAAAGCGACTGTACTACCAACATTTCTGGAATACAAAACTGTCAAATTTAAAGACGTAAGTTTCCCTACAGGCGTGTCGTAACATTGATCTCTGGACTGCTCAAACAACATACGCATGTGTAGGCTGTCGTGGTCTACATACAGCTGTCCCATAAAGTATTGGACAGTTAAACTATCCTGAACAAGAGAATAGGACATAGAACTGTTACTCTCAGACATACACGCTTTGATAAATTCAGTGTATTTATAAAGTGATCATTCAATCGATTTTCAGTTATGTGAAATACGTCAAACTTGCTATTGATTATTGGTGATATCAGCAAATCCTCTTCAAGCAAATTTTGCTGCTGATCTTTATTTGAAACTATTTGCCTTCAACTTACCACAAAGTATAATCTACTTGCATGACAAAATTCCGTTGTCATTGCTCAGTGTATTCCTTTGCATCTCACGTAAATGAAGAGACAGCAATTTGTTCGACAGCACAAAATATTTAATCTGCATGCGAGGGAATGTTTGCGACTAACCTCATTAGAGATCTTCTTGCCGCGACAACTGCATGTGAATCATGCACAAGCCGTCCATTTGACGAGGCACCCTCCTTTGTATTGAAGTTCCCAGTGCCGAGAGCGACCACCTCACATTGACTGGCTGAGTGGAGAGAAGAGACTGTGTACAGTACTGAATACGCACACTTAGCTCCTGGCCACTTCACTTGTGAACAGACTAACAGCTGAGGTGTATTTATAAGCCTTTTTGCTTTTGTTCTAACTCGACTGTGAAGCATGGCCTTTCTTTCCTGAGAATACCGAACAGTATATAGTCCAACAGTTGTATGCAAATGTTGGGTATTCTCCTGTGTAAATTATCTATTTTGTTTTTTGTTTGGAAGTGTAAAGTAGTAAATACAACTCTTGCAGTTGCCTTCACTCAAATATTAATGCAGTTTCTTTTCTTCTTATAACATTTACTACATTTAGAAATGTCCGCCATTCTTTTATGCACTTGAACACATATAAGATCTCCCCATAGATTGTCAGTAATGTTCAAGTTGGGGGACAGTCATAACCACTTTTCTGTAGTTTGCATTTCTGAATTTTGAAGCATGCTTTGGTTGATTGTCCTGCATTCTTTTTAGTTTTACTTTCTCAAATGACTTCCTGTAACACTGGCTTCCACACAACCTCAAAGCATATTTTCTTCACACCTTTGTCTATCAGTTGGAGAGTAATGTTTGGAGGGAAAAAAAATGAGCAGCATCACACTAAACAAATGCTGTTTTTCTACAAATGTGCATTTGGTAATTCTGGCAAAAGTGCTAAAGTTTAAAAGTGACTGTGGCCTATCCAGATATTGCTTTCCATACTTCACATGGACTTTTGCAATGAGGCTTCCTTCTGATGACTCATCTGGGTCACCACTGCAATGTAAGGTAAACCTTAGAGCAGTTATTCACATGCGTGGAGATTTTGCTTTGCTTTTCTGCCTAGCAGATGCTTAGCTTTAACTTAAAGGTTTTACATTTTTGGTGACATTTCAGGAATGAACTGCAAACTTTCTCTGCTTACAACAATCAGTTTCTGGATAAAATTTCTCAAAGTCTGTAACAGTCAGCAGCAATGTTTCCGAATTTTTTCAACCGTTTTTAATGACCTGCAGTCCAAAGGAGCACACTTATATCTAACAGGTTAAATAAGTTCTGGTGCACTGATCGGTGCCGTACTTTCCCACATACAATTACTTAAATACTACTACTAAAATGTAATGATGTGTGTTGCTGCAGGATTTCTTTTCCAAAAAACATGTTTTTGCATCGGCACAGACAACTGTGTATATTAAATATTATACCCTCTACAATCTGAATAAAGCATAAAAAAAAAAGTAATAAATACTACTTTTGTAAAACTCAAATTACTTTATGGACAATGTCACAGACTAATTTTAGTTTCAGTGTTTCTATAGTTTATAGGAGATTGAGGTGGGGCTGTTATTCATTGCATTCTAATTGTTCCTGTTATTTTGTCATTAACACGCCAACAATCTGAGTGTTTCCTTAATCTAAAGAGAGCCAACTGGAAACACCAGCGCTTATTTTTTATTTCTAAAAAGTGACACCCCAAAATGTAATTATAAACAAGACTAATACGATGCAAAACAACATAAGCTTACGACTGTAGCCTGAAATGACTGGAATTTGTAACTCAGGGTTGCTTATTTGGTCGACATCGAGCAATATTTAAGCCTAAAGGCCAATTCATGGTTTCTGCAGCCAATAGCTTGACTGTGGACGCAGCTCTGTTGATACTTTCACAGAGCCGGGCCAGTTGGCTATTCAATCAGTTACATTTTCCCTCATACTGAACACAGAAAAACACACGTGAAAACAGCAGCTGCTTACAGATTGGGCTGCAGCACCGTAACAGTGATTATTCCTGAGGTGTGCCAGGCAGTGTATGAATACAGAATAGGATGTCTGGATAAATGAGGACTTCCTACTGTGTTGTGGCTCTGTTAAGGAAAGCACGATTATTGAGTGAATCATGATTTCATCCAGATTTTTGTCCTTGTGGGAGCCACTTACAAGTCTGAACAATGAAAGCTGCTGTGGTGCCTGCAGAGCCGGAGAACTCTGGATGGCTGTTCATTAGCTTAGTGAGCTGATTCCTGACAGCATGTGGAATCTGGAGGTTTACAGACTTCTTCCTTCCTGAAAAAATGAGTAAGAAAAAGAAACACTTCAACTGCAGTCAGTTGGCCAGGACACACATACTACAGTCGTAAACAAAACTTTACATACACCAATGTCTCCTATAACTGAATTTTCTATCATTAAAACTCATGAAAAAAAACAATCACGCATTGTGATTCTTTCATAGATTTATTGTAGGTGTTCTTTCAATATGACAAAACCAATTGGATTTAAGACGTGTGTGATGGCCGTGTCCACAGCCACACAGAAGGTTGAAGGATTCACACACTGACAAACACCATTACCACATGTTCAGTGACTTCGAGTTCCAGTCACTTAAATTACACACACACACACATTAAAAGTTGGGTTATGAACACTTTGACAACACTAAGTTCTTTTTTTGTTTTTTCATTGTGCTATTAATTCATTTCTCTTTTCTTAGAGTGACCTGGCTCCTGCGTGGCACTCCCTGGTTGGACACTGACAAACGATGGGGCTGAGGGCAGAGCATGGCTTTATTCTGAAGGTCCTCTAACAGACCAGACCAAGAGCCCTGACATCATGGGGGGATTTGGGTTTCTTTGTATTCGTTTTACCTGTTGCCTATATAGTTCCCCCCCATGCGTTAAATTTGGCCTGATCAGCCAGTATATATGTTGCTCCAGGGTCTCAGTCTGGCAGCTCTATTAGTTCATGTCCAGTGTTGTTAGCTTTATGTTTCAGTAGAGTTAGATTTTGTTGATTTCTTTTAAAGGGCCCTACAACTCTGATTTCAGTACTTTCAGTTGTTTTTTTGTAAAAGCAATTTTTGGAGGTAAAATAAATCTGTCTTTTGTGAACTTTAAACCAGTGTTTTTGTGCTTTGACTGCTTGGCCCACAACAACGTGATTATCTTCACAGGTAAAAGATTTTTTGTATAATTATAAATATATATAATCTATTTTAGATGGTTGTGGTTACTTTAAAAATGACAGATGAAGCTATAGGCAAGCAGGCAAATATGGAGAAACAATCTCAGCCATGCTGTCATAGCAATGCTTCAACAGGTGCATTAACTGTACCCGCTAGGCCACTGACAACACTTGATAACATGGGCTATGATGAAATGCACTACCTCAGCTGTTGGCACATCTAAAAGCGATGTGCCAACAGCTGATTAGGAACAACATGAGGCAGGCAAGGCAGCAGATATGGAAGTGGTGTAGCCAAATATGACACTCATCCTATCTTCCGAAAGACCCATTGTGAAATTTTAGTCTGGAGCCCTGCAATGAAGAGTGAAATTTGTAGTTGCAATGGCTGAACTCTACAATGTGTACACAATTATTAGGCAGGTGAGTCATAATACTTGACTACAGCTTTTCCCAACTCCAAACCTTATACCTTAAATCCTCATTAAATTGCATCATTTTGAGTTCATATATATTTAGTGTGAAGAGAGGCGGTGTGTGAAAAGGCAAAATGAGAGTGACGCGTGATGGAGCAGATGGATGAACACAGGGTTGGCTCACTATTGGACACAGGGCACTTTGTGTCAGGTGCCAGCAAGGTGGAGGAAGGGTACTGAAAGAGGAAGTATTGAGACCTTATGGGGTTGAAGATGGACTGAAAATCAACTGCTGAGCCTATTATTAGATTCAAGAAGGACATAAGATTTATGTAGGAAAATGCTCCTCACAAAGTATTTTTTCTACAATAAAATTAACCCGGAAGGAATACAAGTTGCCAAATAATTCTGTGTGCAGTGTATACACTCTCATGTAATGTGTCTCAGCGTAAACTATCAAACCCAAGTAAGTTCAAAATGCCTGTATATTTCTGATGCCAAGACGACCCAGCTACAATTACGGCAGCAGTCAAGAAAGTGAGAGAATCATATGGAAACCCAGAGTTACCGTGAATGGCTCCACAAGGATGAACGTCAGAGATGGAGGACTCATCTTTAACTGGCAGGGGTGGAGGGAGCGCTAGAGAAACAAAAACAGGCATGGAGATGGATGAAAATAGGTGGCACCCTGTGAGATATTTTGCTGTACTGTAACAGTCTTTAAACTGTTTCTAAACTGCCATTCAAAGCTATTTTTAACTGGCATTGTTGACCATTATCAACAAATATCTGCTGAAATATGTCCTCCTGTTAAGTATTATTTATTATGGCTCCCTCATGTAGCATTCCTGTACCAGACCTTTTATGCTCAGTCAATCTAACTAGTCCAAAGTTTCATAAATGAGTTCTGATTTGACAAAAACTAGTGTCTATCAGGGATGACAATTATATATCGGTGGTCAATTCATGACCATTAATAAGAGGATTGATTCAAAAATATGCTAATCAATAATGCAAGGGCTGAGTGGTGTAATTGCAGTAATACCTAAAGGCATCTTCACCAAAATGGTAGATGGCAAGGAGTCTACACTTAAAAAGCACTTTTCTATCTCAGTGGTACTCAAAGGGCTTGACACTGTTTCCCATTAACCAAATAACACACACATTTACACACCAATGGCAACAGAGCTGCCATGAATGTCGCTTGCCTGCCATCGTGAACAACTTTGGCTTCAGTGCCTTGCCCAAGAACACTTCAGTATGCAGAGGGCCAAGGACTGAACTACAAATCTTGTGATTAGTCGACAACCACTTGAGCCACAGCAGCCCAACTGCCCCAGAAACAGCTCTGTCTTATTTTGTCTCAAATGTGGACACATTTTTTTTTATTATTTTACTTTGATCAGACTTAACCTGGTGCTTCAGGGAGGGGGGACTTCAGGCTCTCCAAGGTGGGCAGCAGCTCCTCCAGAGCAAGCTGAGCTGCTTTAAGCCGAGCGTCCTTCTTGCGTATTCCCATGCCAGTCCTGTACTCGACCCCGTCGATGACCACACAGAAGGCAAAATAAAGCCCTTGTATGTTGCCTAAGAAAACAACAGTGAAGAATTTGATGGCAACCTGCAGGTTTTATTCTGATTGACCCAGGGCCTTCAGGAAGCTGTGCCTGGAGAAACTACCACAACAGTGGACAAAAACACTCTTGTATTCTATGATAATAAACTAAATGTGGGTGTGGTAAAGGTATTCTGTTAGAACCAAAAATGTGAAGACAAAGTTTAAGCTATTTTACATGATTAATCAAGAAAAATAACGTGCCAATTATTTGATAATGAAAATAACTGTTTGCAGAACTCCACAACATGCTGGGGAGCTTTACCTGTGGTTACAGTCTCCTTTAGTTCCAGCTGGAACTGAAAAATGTCGGCAAGCTGATGGAGCAGAGACACAGCATTTGTCTCACCCTCCCTGTATCTGGCGATCAGGACTTCCGGTAGGACTTCTGACTTGTAAGCAGGACCTTAGTTGACGAAATAAAGAAAAGCAAAGAAAGGGCAGGTTAGCGATGTAACACCCACATAGATCTGTCAAAACAGCGCTGCAGCAAACAACAAATCTCACAGAAGATGAATGCAGTCTGCACTCATTATCAGGTTGAAAAATGTAATGGATTATTACTTGTGACAGATGTCACTGATTTACATCGTGTGAAATTTAAGCAAATAAAAATCTCAAACTAACCAGATCTGAATTTCCTTCCCACTCGTTGGTCAAACACATTTTTGCTTGGATCACTGAAGGCAGATGGTGGCTCATATGACTGTGTGAGTCCTGATGTTGCAGGCAAACTCTTCACAAGAGTTGTAAAATAGGCTCCTCTGGGACCTCGAAATGATCTACCAGCCGGAAACATCCTGCAAGCTTTCACAATTTCTGGGAAGAAGAGGACAAACAAGTCAAACTGTGACACATGGGTGAGCGTTGGGCTGTGTTGTGTTGACAGTTAGGAAATTTTGTTTTGTTTTACAGTAAATGTTTGAAGATATTCCCAGTGAGTTTGAGGCCGTTTCATGTTTGTTAATTGGATCTGACAAATATTAATTAATCAAATGGCACCTGGCCCCCAGGCAAAGACAATGTAGCATCCCTGGTTTAAGGGCATAAAACCAATAACCTAACAAGCTGAATACTTCCCGAGTCCTCGTCCAGTCCAGGTTTACATTAACTTTAGCTGAATTGTAGATTAACAAGTACCTGTCACAGCTGTACAACCAGCTAAGCTACCTAGCGATGTAATCCATACTGTAACCACAACGTGACAAAAATTAAATAAATGCAAGGGTTGGTGTAATTGCAGAAATGTAACACTGCACATCCTTATCATTTAATATAATGATGTTTTTTCTTGCCATTATTTAGCTAAAGCTAGCTAGCCCACCCTGCTAAATACTACTGCTAATTCTAATTAGCTCGCTGCCTTACCAATTCAGGTGGGATTTTACCTATGATGTCTGGATAATATCAACCTCTCTATCAACCAGAGTTGTAAAGGAATGCCACACTTAACTTTACAACTTCAACTTGAACTCTGGAGTGGTCACTTACCCCAATTAAGTTAGACGTTTAATACGCTAAAGGCTACAGCTAGCTTGGCAGACATGTTAGCAGACGCTGACCTCACACGTCCGCATGAAGCACAAATTCAAAACTCGTCGCGCCAAATACTTTCGCCACATTTACCGCCCGAATTCACGGCGTGGGTTCAGTATTAAACTTTTTTTTCAAATACACACGGCACAAAAAGTCCACGTTTGTACCCGTGTTTTTTTTTTTTTTTTTAATATTAACGGACTTACCGTTGGAGTTGAACGTCGAGGCTCGTGAACGCGTCGAACGCAGCTGCGTCGGTCGTCATGGTTGGATTGACGTCGCGCAGAGATCGTTTGTGCGCCGCGCAGAGATCACACTGTCCGAGAAACAACGCCGACTTTACTGTAGTGACAAAACTACAACTTCTGTATTTTTTAAGCCTTGTTTGTTCATATTTTTTTTAAAAACTATTTTAAATTGTACATGAGACTGTCATATGGATGCAAACGGAAATATAGAAGAAACTGAAGTGAATGTTCTCCCTGTTCTAGCAGCATCTCAGAGGAAGGAATGTTCTTGTTTTGTGTGTTTACTGCTGGATGTGCTCAAGGGTCACGTCATGCTAATTCAACCAGATTTCAGAATACATCTCAGTTCAGTTCATCTATTTTCTTTGGGGGGAAAAAATAGTGCAAAAAAAAAAAAAAATGTCTACCTAAGCTCTACTATAAATAATTTTTGAGTTATGATTTTTTTAAATTTATTTTCTTTTTAATTGGGGTTAAATGTTGTAACTTCAGTGATTCTTTTAAAGCATCTTCAGAGCCTCACCATTTGTTCATTTTTGAATATCCCAGAATCTCCAAGGAAACGTAGGAACTTGTAATCATACCAATAGCTTATGCAGATTATTATTATTATTATTATTATTATGTACAGAAATTAAAATAATACAAATCTATAATTTAACATCAGAACGAAAAATTCAAAAATTAATATCTCCACTAAAAACCAACCAAATGTTGTTGCGGATAGAAACAACTTAATTTTGTCATACCAAAATATCATTTGGTGCTAAATCAAAAACCGACTGATCGGAAAATCCACTTTTAATGATTGTTTTGATTTTTGATGGGGGGCTGCAAGGTGCATCAGTGGTTAGGACCGTCGCCTCACAGCTAGAAGGTCCTGGTTCGTGTCCCGGTGAGGACACCTGGGATCTTTCTGCATGTTCTCAGCGTGGGTTCTCTCCAGGTTCTCCGGCTTCCTCCCACACAGTCCAAAAACATGTTGAGGTTAATTGGTGATTCCAAATTGTCCGTAGGTGTGAATGTGAGTGTGCTTGGTTGTCTGTCTCTAAGTGTAGCCCTGTGATAGACTGGTGACCTGTCCAGGGTGTCCCCTGCCTTCACCCTAGTGAGGATTAAGCAATGTATAGATACATGGATGGACTTATGGACTTTTTGAAGGGAATATCTTCAGATCCATTGAAAATATGAAAAAAAAATTTTAAGATAAAATTTAACACCAAGGGCCAATTTAAAAAAAACAAACATCATAACTCAACAAGTGTTTGGAGTAGAGCTGTGGGATGTTGCAAGATTCATCGTTTAGGTAAAAGTTTTTGCATGTTTTATTTTAAGAAAATAAGTGACCTCAACTCGGAGGCCGTAGGTGAGTTGGCATGAAATGAACACACGAGCTAATGTGACGTCTATGGATTGCAATTACAACAGGAGTCCATGTAGTGAAATCATGCACAAAATGAGTATCTTGTAATGTGCTGTTTTACAGGTACATATTTTTAGAAAAAATTATTCTTAAGACAATTGTTGCAGTGAACAGACTGCTCACTCATTTAAAGTGCAAGCTACCTCCTATGCCGGTTGTGTGTGTTGTGTCAACAAAACCTCCTGTAGATTATTGCAGAGTAAAAACATTAATTCCAAATTTATTAGCACTTTTGACACAAATCAATTCACTTTTAAGGCACGTGAATATGTTTGTATTATGTCTGTTTTAATTCACTCAGTGCAAGTGATGAAGAAGAAAAAGTTAATCAAAAGGGGCTTCCTTTGTCACCTCCCACCCTTCGCTAACATGGTGACAATTGTGGTATATTAATATACGGGGGAGGAAGCTCCCGCCTCCTCTCAGCTGCTGATGGCAGAGATCGTACGCCTATTCTCGCTGCCTGCAGAGTTTCAAGTGTCCTCATTGCGTGAAGACAAAATGACCCTGCAAGAGTCTTACAAGTGGCTGTGTATGTGGTACAGGAATTTCCCTGCATCCACATTTCTTGCCTGCACTGGCATGTTTTGTCACCTCACACCAATAACTTGAAGGTGTTCTGTACTCTCCCACGTTGTTATCTAGAGAAAAGTTCTAGTCTCAGACAATGATAACATAGAAAAGTAGGACCCCGGACATTGCTAGCAGCAGTCACTGTTTTCATTCTGTTGTCTATTTTAATAAGCAGGATCATAATTTAGAAAATGAACATCATGCTGTAGTCAAAAAGTTCTGAAACCAGCGATTGACACCATAAACTGTCAACCAAGAAGTATGATCGTTTTCTTACTTACTGCTGTATAATCTGACTTCCTTTTGCAACCAGAGGAGTCGCCCCCTGCTGGCCGTTAGAAAGCATGCACGTTTCAGTCACTTTCACTTTGCCTCTACTTGTCAGACCTGGGGGCCACATCATCCATCCATCCATTATCTATACACCGCTTAATCCTCACTAGGGTCATGGGGGGCTGGAGTCTATTCCAGCTGACTCAGGGTGAAGGCAGGGGACACCCTGGACAGGTCACCAGTCTATCACAGGGCTACACTTAGAGACAGACAACCAAGCACACTCACATTCACACCTACAGACAATTTAGAATCACCAATTAACCTCAACATGTTTTTGAACCTTGTGGGAGGAAGCTGGGGAACCCGGAGAGAACCCACGCTGCATGGAGAGAACCTGGAGACTCCACGCAGAAAGATCCTGGTTGTCCGAGCTTTCACATACAATTTGTTTGTCTTATAAATTCACCGCTGAAAGACAACTGAGCTTGTTATCGTCAAAGAATATAATTGTAAATACAATAGTTGATTTACCTACTGAGAATTAGGTCGAAACATTTATGCGTCATTATTGAGTTGAGCCACTGGCAGCTAGTTAGCTTAGCTTAGCATTAACATTAGAACAGCTTTACCAGCTAGACTGTCACTAACCTGTAACTCTCTGCCAAAAAGTGAATAAGCAACTTTCCAAAACTGTTGCCTGATTCCTTTCCATTGTAATATCTGTAGCTCGGTCAATCCATGTCACTTCAGATTTTATACAACACTATTTGGGACCCAAAACTAAGGTTAGACAAATATATCAGTAACATATAAGCCTCATATGTTGTCGTTTAACATAAAGACAACATGAAAGCAACTTGTGGTTTTGCATGTATAATGACAACTTTGTGCACACATGAGTCCACATCAGCTTGTTGGCATGTCAACGTAACAAAAAACTAGAAACTTAAGTTACCATATTTGCTCACATCAAATTCTATTGATGTTGGAGGCCCAAAAATCTGGTGAATACTTAACCAAAGGCTGTTTTTTTGTGGTAAATAATTATATATGTATATATGTATACACTTATAAGATTACAGGAGCTTTATGGGGCCTCATTACCACCCTTGTTTGAACTTTTTTTATATTTTCTAGGGCTTCTGTTTAAACCACAGATACAGGGGAAGTTTTGTGTCCTCACCACCTTTCATTGCTGTCGGAGTTACTGAACCTTAAAAATGGCTTTTAGAGTATTTTTTTTTAGAGAGGAAATACAAAAATTCTGATGTTGGAAAACGTAAAAATAATTCTCAAAATTCATCAAAATTATTTTACAGAGCTTAGTTTTGGGCCCTAATGAACACATGTATGAAGACAGAACAAAGCAGTGGTTCAAATCAATGTTCTGGACCTGATATTGTTTGTGTTTTCAACCTTTTTGCTCTACTTCAGCAATATGGCAGGCTCAGCACAACGCATGTGAGGAGGTGGCTGCCTGTGGTTAGGGGTCTGACATTGTTTGCTTTCAGGCGGCTGCCAGAATCGAAACCTTTCGCATGTCAGAGGGTCATTATGAAAGGCTACTGGGTTCAGTGTATTCACATCTCCCCTTCAACCATGAAGTACCCTCAGTGGGGACAATGATTAGCAATTACGAGAGCATAAAAGTAAAATGGAACAAGCAGCCCACAGGCAGCAGTGAAGGTCACCATAGGAACAAATATGGTTTGACACCCCCGCAGCCTATAGGGACAAAGTTTG